TCCACACATACCTTCCTCTATCCATCTGTTCATAATTTCAATTACCAGTCTGTCACTCTAACATTCATTCATAACGCCATTAACTTCATTTCCCCATCCACTCACTCAATAGCCACTCTTCATTCTACCTGCCAGTCTGTCCACACATATGCCCATCCGGCCCTTCACCTACACACTCATTTATTCATCATTTTACCTACCAACCCACTTACCACTGTAACAGTTATCCATCCACCTACCAGTCCATCTATCAATCGATCCCGTACCCCACCATCACTTATTTCATTTATCCACATGCCTGTCCTCCCACCTCTTTCATACCTCTATCCATCTTCTTTCTATCCAGCAGTTCACCTAACTGTTCCGTGTACCCTGTGGTTCATGTGTTGATTGTTGTTGGATGCTGCTGACTCAGCAACGCAGTGTGCAACAGAACAGGGTCCCTGCGGTCCTGCCCTGACCTCACTCCTCGTGCTGACACCCCTTGTGCTGGCCATCTTGCTGCAGGTCTTCCTTTCCCACTGACCAACACCTTTTCTCAGAGTGACCTCCTTCTTCTGTGCTCCTCCTTCCCCGGCATGCACAGCATATGGGAGGTCTCAGCACCTCACTCCTTGGCTACACATCCTCTGAGCCTGATGTTTTGGTTCTTTGAGCTGTCCACAGTATGTCCAACACCATAGGTGGAAGTCATCAATTCTTGGTGTCGAGAGGGTCTGTGTGCACCTCACTCACCTGCTCATCCTCCACTCACATACCCCTCCACGAACCCTCGCTTTGGGCTTCCTACTGGCGTGGTGAAGCTCTGGTGCCTTGGGGTCTTCACAGGATCCTTATTTGTAGATAAGGAAAAGAAGGCCCGGCAAGGTAGGTGACATGTCACAGGCCACAGTCCACTGCCAACTACCCACAGCCTATAGTCCACAGACCATGGCCTAGACCACAGAGCATGGCCCAGCCCACAGGCCACAGCCCACAGTTCACAGTTGACACAGATGACAGCTCTCAGCCCACAGGCTGCAGCCCACACAGATCACAGCTGTCAGCCCACAGCCCATACAGATCACAGGCCACAACCCACACAGATCACAGCTCTCAACCCACAACCCATACAGATCACAGTTCACAACCCACAGGCCACAACCCACACAGCTCACAGCCTACAGGCCACAGCCCACACAGATCATAGCTTGCAGCCCACAGTTCATATAGGTGACAGCCCCAAGTCCACAGCCCACAGCCTACAGCCCACAGTTCACAGGCCATAGATTACGACAGCCTACAGTGTACAGACCACAGCCTAAATCCCACAGCCACCAGCCCACAGCCTACAGCGCACAGACCACAGCCTACAGTCCATAGCTCCTAAACCATAGGTTATAGCCCACAGCCACCAGTCCACAACCTACAGCCTGTAGCCCACAGTCAACAGACCACAGTCTGCAGCCCACAGCCTACAGTCCACAGCTCATAAGCCATAGGTTACAGCCCACAGACTGCAGCCCATAGCCCCCAGCCTACCTACAGTTCACAGTCCATAGATTATAGACCACAGTCTACAGCACACAGCTCATAAGTCATAGGTTACAGACCACAGCCTAAATCCCACAGCCACAAGCCCACAGACCACAGTCCATAGCTCCTAAACCATAGGTTATAGCCCACAGCCACCAATCCACAGCCTACAGCCTGTAGCCCACATCACAGCTCATAAGTCATAGGTTACAGCTCACAGCCTACAGCCTACAGTCCACAGCTCAGAGACCATAGATTACAGACCACAGCCTAAATCCCACAGCCCACAACCTGCAGCCTGGAGCCCAGAGTCCACATCTACAGCCCATTGCCCACAGTTCACAGCCCACAGCCTACATCCATGTCCCATAGACCACAGTCCACAGGCTATGCCCCACAGACCATGGCCCATAGCCCACACATACCACCTGGAGATGGGACCCACATCCTGACTTGCCCTGTACCACCCTGAGCCAAAGAAGCACCTGGGATACTGGATGGTGGGGACTGGTGGCTGCAGCCCTATTCTACCTCCCAGAGTCCATTTGGCTCACCTTGCTGGGCTAGCCTTACCCTTGGGGTGCCTGGGGAGGTGCACCATCCCTGAGCAGCACTGGAGCTACCCAGGGTAGGCAGAGCAGAAGCAGATGCATTAAAGACCATGACAGGTGTCCACCATAAAGGTAGGACATGGCCTCCATGCCTCAGTGGCCCCCCACTTTCTGTGGGGCTGCCTGCTGTGGGTGTCAGTTCTTCAGATCTTCCAGAATATGTCACTAATCGAGGTACCCCCAGCCTTTTTGCTTGACTATCCCCTAAACATCCTCCTGTTGGGAGAATGGTCAGCTTGAGAACCTCAGCTTTTCCTCCTGCCCCTCTCAGGATCTGCCCAGCCCTAGGTGTTGCCCAGGTGTGATGGGGTGGACTCTGGGAGTCCTGAGCCAGCCCCTGTCTTCCTTATCTTCATGCATGTCCTCAGACCTGAATACCGCACTGACCTTACACCCTCCTAAAGGACACTCCTTGGCACTTTGCAGAGGTGACCCTCACCACCATCTGTCCTTCCCAAGTGGAGGCCCAGAGACGTGGAGATGATGCCAGCCTGCACCACACAGCCAAGGAGCAGTGGGCCCGGGGCTTGCATCCTGAACCGCTTAGCCACCTCTTCCCAAAAGAACTGAGTGGGGTAGAGAAGAGTCACCTCACAAGGGGGTTGGCTGCCCTCTTCCAGACTGAACCCATCCTGTGGGACAAAGGAGGGGGGCAACCCCTGGAGGAGGGAGCATCATTCTGAGGTCACCACCACGGTGGGGGCAAGAAGAGCTGTTCCGGGGTCACCACCATGGCAGGGATGGGGTGAAATGCTGTTCTGGGGTCACCACCATGGCAGGGGTGGGGTGAAATGCTGTTCTGGGGTCACCACCATGGCAGGGGTGGGGTGAAATGATGTTCTAGGGTCACCACCATGCCCCTGGGAGGAGAGAGCACTGTTCCAGAGTCAGTATCACAAGGCCTCTGTCTGCCCAACAGTTACTGTGGCCATGTGGTGCTGATGGCCACCTCCTCTTGAAGCACAGGGCCCACGTTGGCTAGGTAACTGACCAGGGTGCTCTTTTAAATGACGTTTTACCGTGTTTCAGTGAAAGATTACACAGAGGTTAAGGGCATCTGTCAGCACCCTGGTGGAAGTGTCCTGTTTATTTCACTCTCAACACGCTAGTGTCCTGTCCCTCATATCCTCATCTTTGTGGTGGGGTGAACAGTGACCCTGGGCTTTTAGAGGTTTCTGAGCAGGGCATGGATCTAAGGGACAATGTCCATCCTTTATTGCCCCTCTTGTGTTAAAAGCTGGTCTGAGAGTCAGGGTTGGGCTAGGGTCTTGGTCGGGGTCAGGGTTAAGGTCAATGTCAGGGTTAGGGTTCCTGAGTGAGTTAGCTAGCTGAGTGCCTGAGACACATCCTGATCCACGCAGCTCTGAGGATGTTTCTCAGGGACTCAGGTCTCGCTGGTCCAGTTAGCCTGGTGCCTTTCCCAGAGTCTCCCTCTCACTCTATGTGGGGTGCTGAGGCCGTGAGCACCAGCCGTCCAGTTCTGGCACCAGGGCAGAGGGTGTCATGGCTGCTGCAGGCTGTGAGCCCTATGAATTTGTCTGTCCTCTGAGCCTTGGGGCACCTTCTTGCTCTTTGCTGACCAGTGACTGAGAGTCATTTCATGACTCTGGGTACTTCCCATCAGGATGCAGAAAGAAGGTGAACCTGGCACTAGGCCATGCAGAGTGGTGGTTGTCCCTTGGGCCCTTGGCCTTCAAGCTCGGAAGTCTGCCCGGCCAGAGGCTTGTGGGTTAACCTTGAGAAGGGTGTCTTCTGTGAGAGCCTGTGCGCACACACATCTACACTTATGCCGTCTGCGGTCATGGACCTCTGGTCTACCGGCGCACATAGTTTTGGTTATGACTGGTAGTGACAGGAGTAAGGATTCCTTGGTGCCCCGTCCTGGTCTTGCGCTGTGTGTGTGGGGCGCTCACCCATGGCTGGTGCTACGACCCCCATCCCTCCCCCCCCTACCCCATCACCACAGACCACTCCATCAATGTTCTCCGAGGAGGAGATCACTGAGGCTCAGGGCTTTTCGGTGCATTTCCTGCCCCCCAAATCTGCCAGCGGCTGGGCGTCAGCCGATCGTGGCTCCTGCCCATCAGCAGCCAAATCCTGGCGAGGCTCTCCTCTGCGGCCCGTCCCGGGAGCTGTGGGGGGCGGCGCCGTCCCCCGGTCCCCCGGCGGGGACGGAGCGAGGGGAACTGCGGGATGCGGTGCGCGCGGCCGTACTAGGAGGAATACGGCGCGGCGGCCGCTGGGCGGTTTCCCGCCGCCGCTGAATGAGTGCGCTGCGCTGCCGCCGCCGTTAGGGTTCCGCCGCATCCCCGCTTCCGCCGTGTCTTCGAGAGACCCCTGTGTGCCCGCGGGGAGACCCCAGCCCCAGCACACCCCCAGGCCGGTGAGCTCCGTGCCCCCCGCCGCGCCCGCAGGGGCTCCACGACCCCAGCCCCCCACGCGCGCTGAGCCTCTTGGGGAGCGGGAGGGGGGGCTCGCTGCGCTGTGGCCCCGAGACCCAGAGTCCCTGCGCCCCGCGCCGAGCCCTGGACTCGAGGCCCCGGAGCAGCCACAGGTGGGAGCCGAGCAGGCGGAGCCGGGGCGCCGTGAAGCCGCCCGCACCCTGGAGTCTCCCCTCGGGACAGCGCGCGACCCTTCTGAAAGCGGTCGGGGCGCGGGTGGGCTGGGGGCGGCCCCCGGGAGCTCGGCGCTGACGAGCGCATCTCGCCCGCAAGGCGCGCACTCGACTCCCCCGCCCTAGGGCCCCCCCGCGCAGTGACCCCCACTGCGGGCCCTGGAGGCCCTGCCGCTGCGACCCCCAGCTGCTTAGGAGCCCGGGCCACCTCCTGACAGGCCCCTGTCTCTCTCCCCAGAAGCCGCCGCACACCCGCCCCCATGAGGAGAACCAACATGTGGCTCCTGGAGCGACTTCGGGGCGCCGGCGAGAACGGTGGCGCCAGGGGCGAGGCGAGCGACAAGGCCGGCAAGGGGCCGCTGTACAGCAACGTCCTCACGCCGGACAAGATCCCTGACTTCTTCATCCCCCCGAAGCT